AGAGAGAGAGAGAGATGACAAGCAGACTGGGCTGGACTGGGCACTAGAAGAACAACTAATGATGGCTCTTGAGGCCTCGAGGTGGAGGCGGCGCTCTGTTGATTGAACTGAACGTCTTGAGGCTCACGTCAGCTGCTCTCATCGCAACAGGGCGGTGCTCGGTGATGGAAACAAAAACTGGTCGGACATTACGCCTTCCCTCCCCTAAAAAATATAAGCTGCTCTGCTGATGATGGTTCAGCGAAATAAGGGAAGCAGGGGGGAAAGTTGATGCGCCATTCTCACCTGCTGCCGCTCTGCTGCTGCTGGGCGATAACGTTCGCACATGCTTTGTGAAGGAATCAAATAAATTTCAACACATTTTAAAAGGCCAGTGTTACGACGAGAGTTGAAACAAATTTATACCGTTCTGTGACGGCATTTGGAAATTAAATGCTCTCTTGTAAAGATTTTAGTAGAACGAGTGGAACACATTTTCAGAGAGACTATTGTTGTAGTTGCCGCTATCTGGTCCCTTTGCTTTGCTCGGCGCGCTTCAGACAGAGACCTCCCGCTCCCCGTCGACCGCAGGGCTGGGCGGGCAGCGCCGCTCGACTGCCGTGCGCTGCGGGGTGGCCTACCCAGAGAGCCGCGGGCTGATACTGATGACTTTTCGCCGGCTAGTTTGCTAGTTTACCTTTCCTCCACTTCAAACATTGCGGTCTGTCTAATTAGTTTCCGCGCAAAAGCGCGGGCTGCGAGTAAACCCGCGCACGCGCAACGCTCTCTACGCGCCCCTGAAAAGGCACCCCGTGGAGCGCACCCAACCCAACCCTCTTTGTGGCGTATGTATGGCCTCCCGCTTCAGCCCGAGTGTCGCTCCAGAGAGGTGAGAAGGCTCGATACACGCGGCCCTCCAGCTTTTCTTTGATCTCTGGCGCAAGAGACCATGGGTGACCTAGAGGCGTCCTGGTGGCGGCCTCGGGGTTCCTCGCAGACACCCTAGAGGTGTGCAAGAGGACTGCCCGGTGGAAAGGGAAAAGGTGAGGGGGGGGGGGAGTAGCACGGCCGGCAGGCAGTCAAAGGCACGTCGCCGAGGTAAGACGAGAATGCAATTTATTTTCACAATTTAATATAACTCCCTTTTGCCCCTTCTTTGACGATATAGCAGGCTTGGTGCAACCTCCAAGAGGCAGAGAAGGGGGGAGTTGCCAGCCA